ACAGGATGAGTCCAATGAGCCAGGCTCCGAGGAAATTATGTAGCGGGATGAGACTAGCTCGAGAACGGATAATACCAGACATGGGATCAAGCATCGTTGAAGAGGCGGCTTACAGCTCGGCTTTCTATGCGTCCACGAATCGGATGCTGTGTTCTGATGCATCGATGGTAGGTAGGTAGGTAGCATTACACGGCACGGTCCGGAAATCAAGATCCTGCTTCTATTGTACTATTTCGACCAAGTGATAGTGATAGTGAAACAGCGTGGTCCAATCTCTGGACACTGTGTTCCCAAGGTTATCCCCAAGTATTCACGGCTTATGACCTGTAACCTCAAGTATTCATTTTTGAAGTATTTAAATTGCCTTTTTGGGCGATTTTTCACAATTTTCCCAAGTCAAAGCGATCTCCACGCTTCTTACTGCTCTCCCGTGAAACTTGCACTGGTCTTGCAGGAATTGCGGATCTGTATCAGTACATGCCTTTTTTCTTCTCCCTGCGATTGCGGGTCTCTGACACAGCGGGGCATCGTACTCGGCCTTAGTTCGAGCATTAAGTACCCCCAATCTCGAAAACTCGTCTTCGTGAAATTTGGCCCAATCGACTGTCTATTTGAGGTTTCAAGGATGTCATCCTTGAAATCATAACGTAAATACTCTGAAACAAATCAGAGAGGTGTCAGCGGTGATTCGAGATGTCTGTGGAGCTAGGAAGGATGAGGTTCAGCGAAGGCTGCCATTTACGTAGTGTCCGGGCTCGTTTTTCCCGGGCCCTAATTTTGTCCAGGAGCAGATTACAGCGCGACAACGCTGCATTCAATGCAAAGTTGACACATGCAAAACACCTAGATCCGATGATTATCAGCTGTGCGCGCGGACCCTAAGTCCCGACAAAATACTTATTATCCATCTTTAGTGTATTGGTTTTGTGGCGCTCTATCACGACCTGTCCGGCGGCGTTGATAGGCATCAGTGGCCACGACTGTCGGCGGCGTGATAGGCATCCAACAATCACCTTTTTAGGGAACAGCTCTGAACTCAACCTGAATTTATACGTGCGAATTGCGTGCGAATTTGGACTGGCAGTGCTTGAAATTCGTGGTTGAAATTAATCGATACTCAGCCCAAAAAAAGCGGGGACAATGACACTCATGACGCCCACCGTTTCAAATCCAGGTTTATAGACTCCCCAGCGTGCAAGGCTTGCGGCTCGCCCCACGAAACCCGCACCCACTACCTCCTGGAGTGCCCGGCGCGGGAGCACCTCCGTCAACCCCTCCACAATGCTGTAAAGGCCGCCAGCTTCTTCGGCTCGCTTCACCTCTCCCATCTTGTCGCACCCTCAACTATTGAAACCGCTCGCAAGGTTCATTGAAGCCTCGGGACGATTCTCGTGAGCACCCGCCTCTAATTTTTATTTTTATTTTCTCTTTTTTATCCCTCCCTCTCGACTCTACCTTATATACCTATATAATCTATACCCGTGCTATCCCACATATGTTCGTCGAAACCTAGACTCGTCACCAGTCTGTACGGCAACGTGCTTGCACGAAGATCTGCCGTCCATGACAGACTGGTGACGAGTCTAGTCGAAACCCACTGCGCAAACCTCCGATATCACCCACCGAATACTACACAGACCAGCTTTTCCCATAATTCTACATCCTTTCCGTATCTTAAAAAGCCCTCGCTATAACTCCTCCGCACTAGATCACCTCCTTAGACACCATTATTGCTGCTACCATAGCCTTCACTGGCCACATGTAGTCACACAAATGAATTCCAATCAATCAATCATGAGAGCAACCTGCGGAAGACAGTTGTTCCGCAGCGAGCAGATGGGAAGTGGCGCCATTAAGACGGCAGAGTAGATGGGATGCAAGAAATTGGGATGATCAAAAAAAAAAAAAACCCCAGTACACGAGGAGTCCATCACCAGGCCCCCAAGTGAACGGGTTCTTCTGCCTGAAAAGTGGCTCCAACAGCCTACCTGCAGCAGATGCACGCCATGTGCAACCAGGTCGTTCTATACCTTCCTACGTCTCTGAATTTATATGTGCGAACCTGGAGTGGTTGTGTTGGAAATAATCGATAATCAGCCCAAAAAATATTGTGGGGACACTGAGAAACAATTTGGGCGTAATTGTGAGGTTCAGTTTCATGAGCAAGTAGAGGCAGTCGAAGAGTAAAAAAACTCAAGTCTGGTAACCCATCACCCAGCGTCGAATCGAACGGGGGTCCCTCTGCCCTCAACGATATGGATCGCATGTGGCATTGTACTTACCACCGGATGATACTATACCTTATTGCATCCTTGGATTTATGCGCACAAAACTAAGCTGGGTGGTTGAAACTAAACAGCGGGTGAGAGCAGAATTTATTGCGCGGCTCAGGAGATGTGTAATCCATATGGGAAACGGCGCCATTAAATTGAACAGGGGCCTTCTGCAGAACCTGCTTGCAAAACTCCAAGGTTGAGCAAAGGCACGCTATGTGCGACCAGGTGGTGTTATTATTGCAGTAAGCAGATGCACACCATGTGCAACTGGGTGGTGATATCCCTGCCCGGGGCCTTGAATATATAGGGTACATTTAAAAGCATTTAAATCAGCCAGGCCAGAACTTTGAAATCCCTTTTTCAATATTTTAAGCAGATGCACACCATGTGCCGCCGGTGGTTCTATGCCTTACTGCATCCCTGAATACATGCTGGACCGGTGGTGCTGGAGATAATCACAGCACCAGCCGGAAAAATGTTGGGGGGACAATTAATGCCAGGCGGCGCGAAATCACATTATATATACGGGTCCATGCTTAGTTGTGTACATGTGCGAGGTGTGGCGGAAGGAGGAAGACATGGCAAAAAAAAATCCGTTCCACAGCGAACATGACTTATCACCTGGCCCCGAATCGAACGGGGGACCTTCTGCATAAACAGATCGCCAGCACCTAAGTTCAGCAGACGCACGCCATGTGCAACCGGGTGATGGTGTCCCTGGATTTATGACAATGCTGTCCAGCCAAACGTGGTTGAAATTGAAATATCAACCCGAAAAATGTCCTGGGGCCAATGACACTCACCAGACGGCAAAGAAAATCATATCACTCACTCTTGGCTCATACCGAGATTGTGCAAGGAGTAGTGGAACGGTGCGTGTAGGGGAGAAATGAGGCAGGAAAAAATCCATCCGAGGCAAGCAATCACCAGCCCCGAATCGAACGGGTTGCCTGCTTCGAAATACCCAACATCATATTGTAAGCAGATGCACGCCATGTGCAGCCAGATGGTATTCTACCCTGTTGCGTTCTTGGTGTTATGCGCACAAAGCTGAGTTGGGTGGGGTTGAAATTAATCGCAACGTCAGCCAGAGAAATGTTGCAGGGGCATTGACACTCACGGAGAAACCATTGGCCTTCCTGTATAGTTGTGAGTCCCATACTTGATACTCATAGCAAGGCCGGAAGGGTGAAAAAAAAGAGAGAAAATAACTTGTTCTACTCGAATGATCACCCGGTCCCGGATCGAACGGGGGTCTTCTGCATAATCTCCCCAAATTCTTATTGTAAGCAGATGCACGCCATGTGCGACCAGGTGGTTCTATACCTGGTGGTGTCCCGAATTTATGCGCATAAAGCTGAGTTGGGTCGGGTTGACATTAATCGATCGAGTCAACCCTGAAAATGTTGTGGGGAAGGGCACTCGCCGAGAAACCATTCAGGTGAGGGTCATATTCCTGCTCCATGACAGCAAGTGCAGAAGCAGTCGAAGAGTGCCCAAAAAAAAAAAACACCTAACCCTTCTCGTATCACCGACCCCGAATCGAACGGGGCCATTCTGCAGAATCTTCTATCAAATTGACTCGCATTGGCCATGTACCACCAGGTGATATTATACCTAGTCGTGTCCTTGAATTTATGTGAGCAAACTTGGAGCGGTTGTGGTGGAATTAATAGATATCAGCCATACATTGTTACGGCCCGGGGATGACACTCACCGAGAAACAATTCAGGTGAGAGTCCGACGTAATTGCGAGGTTCAGTTTCAGGATAGCAAGTACAGAAACTTCAGTCAGCTGTCGAGGTGTGAAAGAAGACACCTCTACGCGTATTCATCGCCCAGCTCCGAATCGAACGGGCTCTTCTGCTCGCAAGGCCGGAAACTCGAAGATTGGGCAGATGCACACCATGTGCAACCGGGTAATATTGTACATGGTTGTTTCCCTGATTTATGCAGCAAACTTGGAGTGGTTGTGCTTGAATCAGCCAGAGAAATGTTGTGGGGAATGACATTCACAGCGAGTCGCTCTTGGTTCATGCCTGTTTTATGTGCGAGAAGGAACGGTTGCGGAAACGAGGATAAAAATCCATCCGAGTCAAGCAATCACCAGGCCCCGAATCGAACGGGGTCTTCTGCTTTGAATGTTGACTGATACTGAATTGTAAGCAGATGCACGCCATGTGCGACCGGGTGATATTGTGCCTAGCTGCACTTGGATTTATTAGGGCAGACCTAGACTGGTGTGAGTTTAAATCAGCGGCTGGCTCGAGATCATTTGGTGGAATCCACTGAGCCAAGAACATCGTGAGCCTGTTCATTTGATTATCCAGAAATTGGAATCGAAAGCGAGTAAAATAAGTAAAATAAATGGCGGAGGGAAAAAGTGAAACCACTGGTACTATCGCCCGACCCCGAATCGAACGGGGGTCTTCTGCATAATCCAATCATTCCAAGCCTTCAAATTCAGCAGACGCACAACTCTGTGCCACCGGGCGGTCTTCAACACCTTAACTGGGTTGAATACATAGTAGCATGGTTAAAGAGAAGAGGAATCCATTTCGAGTCACACGACTCGACGGCCAACGTATTGAATTGCTTGTCCAGAAATTGGACTTGGGAGTGAGTAAAACAAATGGCGTGAAAAGGTCAAAAAAGGGAAACTTGAGGCTTTCCTAGTAGAAGCAGTCGAAGAGTGAAAAAAAAAACGCAGCCATCAGTGCGTTATCGCCCGACCCCGAATCGAACGGGGATCTTCTGCATAATCGTGGGTTGTGAGGACTCGAAGTTCAGCAGACGCACTACGCTGTGCCACCGGGCGGTCTCTAGCACCCTAACTCGGTCGAATACACGGCATGGTTGAACAGAAGAGGAATCCATTAAACATTTCAAATGAGTCACGTCTATGTGACAGTTGTGACGCTCCTCTTCTCCTTAGCCCTTGCGGAAATCCCCTGCGACTAGTAGTACTACTAGATGCCCGGCTCGACGAGTAGTCAGTCCCCTCCACCTGTACCCCGCCGCCGCTCCTCCGCCAGCCCGTCCCCCGCCGCCGGTGTCAAGGGCGTCACGAGGAAAGTGATACGCACGCTCGAGGGGCTGGGGCACGCCGTCGTCGAGATGGACACGGACGACGACCCGGAAGAGAGCGAGGTGGCTGAGGCGCTGAGGGCTGACCGGCGACACGGGAAACAACGCGCGACGATGGATGCACCGGAGACGGAGGGGAAGATTGACTGGAGACCGAGAAAGGTGTTTCATTCGTCTATCGGTGCATGTGGTGGCATCCACTTTTTTTATTATTACTCGAGAGAAGAACAAAGTGCTGATTTTGGGATTTTATGGGCAGGGTTCATAACGCTGGGACTGTATCTGACGCCGAGCATGTCCGCGCGCGCGGTAACGCTCGTCCTGTGGTCTGCCCTCGCCGTAATCGCTCCGACGGACGTGGTAAGGCTGCGCGTGCCTGCCGTTGAGCGGGTGTATGAAAGGTTACTTGGGTTCCTTATGCGCGAGAGTGAGCGGGTAAGTGTGTTTTCCTTTCCTTCTTGCCTTCCTTCTCTGCCTTATCCTTATCCCGTGGCTAATTTTTGTGGTATTGTTATTGTAGACGGGCACGAACGGCACGCTGTGGTACATCCTCGGCGTCAACTTTGCGCTCACGTTCTATCCTATTGACGTCGCGACTGTCGCGATTCTTATGTGCGTCCCCATCCCTTGCTGTTATTCCTCCTTTCCTCCTTCCTTCCTTCCGACTGTTTCTCCTCCTTTCCTCTCTCTGCGAGACAGCCCCGTGTTTCGCCTCCCTTCCCTTCTCCCTCGTCTCTCATCTCCCGAGTCGGGAGGTGATAAGACACTGCCCCTGTCTCTGACTGCTGGTGATCGTGCTATGGCGCGATCGACTCGACACATATGCCCCCGCCGCACACCGACGGATCTACCTCCGTGCGGTCGTGTGCCATTTTTGGGCGCGGTCGTGTGCCACTCTCTTCACTGGGTGTCTTTTTTTATTTTGGCTTTGGATTTCGTTTCTGCGTTGTTTTCTCTTTTTTTGCATTCGTATTCGCCTCGTTTTGGCTTAACATCTCTCTTTTTCTTTTTTCTTTCGTCCCACCCTCTTTTTTTTTTTGGCTCGATTGTCCGTGGGTTGCGTCTAGCCTAGATTGCCCCTTTCAGACGTGCACGCCCTCGGACTGGGGCTAGGTCTCCGCACTCCGCGATGGTAACCGCACTCGGACCCGCTCACGGCGTCAAGTCGGGCCCGCATCTGCTCCAAGCCCTCGAGTGCCCCGAGCCCTGACCGCGTCGGAAGTAGGAGGTCGGAAGTTGGAGGTTGGGTTGGCGCGAGAGTGACCCGCTTTCGGTAGAGGGTGGCCCCATTCGGCCTCCGCGATAGTGGCCGCACCGACGCCGACATGCACGGTCTGGGCAGGGGGCGACCTCGGCGCCGCGATACTCCCTCACCCGGGTCCCTGCGTCCGCCTCGGGCTTAGTTTCCGCGCAGGGTCGCTGCGTCGGCCGCCAGGCGTGTTCGCCCGGGACCGCGTCCACCTTGGCCTCTGAGTGGCCACTGCGATAGCGCTCAACGTATGCTTATCCTGCGGCTGTTATGCTTATGCGTATACTCATATGGGCATCTGGGCTATTGCTTCGCGTCACTCGAGCCTCGCACTGGCAGGTCCTCGCCCCTCGCTGGTTTTTCTTTCTTTCGTGGGGTTACCTCGGTGGGTTTTTGTGCGGGGCGAGCGGATTTCCCTATGCGCGCAGGTCGACGGGCGTGGTCTCTCTTCCTGTTGCGTTACTCGGGTGGTGGAGCACGTTGCGGCGGACTGGTACCACCTTATCCTTGGTTTTTTCCGCCTTTTTCGCTTCACTTTTCCTTTCGCGCTACCCTTACGTTCCCTTATCAACGAATACAAAGTTTATGACGATAACAGTAGAATAGGTGCATAGATAAGTAAGGATATGGGATGCGAATAGGAATGCATTGGGGAGTGAAGTAGCGCGCGCTCAAGGCGGAACGGCGCAACGCAAGGACAGCCTCGCGCGCGTGCGCAATACGCGCACGGCCTCTGCGCATCAGGCGTCGCCCGACGCACATCCCATCCAAGCAGAGGAGAAGCGAAGCGCAGGCACGCCCGCAGCCGCTGGACGTGCAGACGGCGGCGGATGTAGATGCAGACGTGGCTTTTGAATAGACACACGCCGCACGTAGCCGCAACTCGTGAAGAAGCGCGAGGACGAGACGACGCCGGGTTCGAAGCAGCTTGCGAGAGCGAGGCACAGGCCGGTCGAGCAGCGCACGCTACACACGCGCATACGGTCACGCTCGGGGACGGCGCGGGTGTGAGCAGCGCTAGAACAAAAGAGAGAACGGTAAGCAAACGAAACCTTGCATGAACATCGGTGTAAGTCTGTGCTCGACGGTGCACCCCGCGCTCGCGTGTGCAGCGAACCGAAGCGCCGCGAAGAGTACGGAGCCGGTGAGGGAGGCCACAATCGTGGCGCGAACGCAAGGCAATCGACTGTGCCGGGACGGCGAAGGCGCCGCCTGCAGCGCGCGACACGCTCCCAGTCGCAGTCGGGATCTTGTGCTTATGTCAGCCTGGGAGGGCGTGCACGGCGTCGCTCAGTGCCGACGGTTGCAGCGACAGCATTCGAAAAAAGCGCGGGATGATCGGACCGGGTAATGTGATGAGTTCAAGACTTCGAGTTTGCCTTGTGTTTGCCTTGTGTTTGCCTCATGTTCAGTGTTCTCTCGACAGCCAGGGAAAATGGTGCAAAGTTCATCGTCTGCGGGGAAGGTATTGAGCTCATCACCTTCGGTAGACTTGAGCTAGCGAGAATGAAACCGGCCGTAGGCAGAGTGGTGACGAATGTTTTAAAAAACCAGTTGGGCGTCCTACACGGCATCTCCAGGCGGATTCGATCCGGGCCCGACGTCAACTTCATGTCAAATTATTAATTAATATAAGTGGGGTCTTCGGCCGCAAATCAATGGATCCAGCTTCAAAGATATGTAGTGGAGAGCTACGCCTGCGCCTCGCGCATGCTGACTGACGCGCTGCTGGGGAAAAGGATGCCAGTGTGAACAAGGAAGAGTTGGCAGGTCATTACCACAGTGATGCCACGAGTAAATGATTGACAGGAAGTGATACGTCTTGACCGAGTCTGCACTTCGCTGGCAAGAGGTCTGCAAGGTCGGCGAGACTGGCAGTGTCCAACATGTGATGATCCTTTGCTTTCTTTAAATCCGCCAATATACTGCTAAACCGAGGCTTGAGTTAACCTTTGCCGAGAACGAGCTGAGTCTTTATCCGATCATCCTGGCAAATCATCGTGCGAACGTGCATGCTGTCCTTCAAGTTCCGGTGTTTTTCTGGGATCTTCTCCCATCACGCGGTAGCAGTGTCCCTTGTGTTCTGCTTCCATGTCCTCTCTAGCCCTCTAGCCTCCTCACTGTTTCTTTGCCTGTTAGATCTGCTCTTTGCATCAACTTTGCTGATGTCTGACATGGTGTTGTCCAGATACATGCCCTCAGGAGTAAACAATTCATATTAGCAATAATGTCTCACGATCCCGAGACAATATGTGTCCATGGTGTGTTGGTATTGGTCAGACATTGACATATCATTAATTTTTGCCAGGAGGGTCTGGTGGCCCAGGTGGAGAGGGCCATGGACAAGGTACAGGTGGTCCCGGGGGTATAGGACAGGGGCCCACTCTGCATATCAAGAGAGTTGGAAATCTGTATACTGGTAAAGCCTCTCCCTTCCTCATGCTATCTATTTATAACTGAACATTCTTCATGATAGGGGGCCAGAAAGAAACAGAAATCTGGTACATTTGTGTCTTTCTTTCAAGAGTTTGGCCCTGATCTTCTTGCTCAAAGGAACGAGATGGAAGGTAAAGGCTCAGGCTGTGTATTGATTCAGAGATTGAACACTCAATAGCTGCAAAACGGGATGCAATAATTGAATGGTTGTCCCCACTCAATTTCTTTGTTCGACAACAGGATATTTCCAAGACCCGTCAGCAAGGAACTGGACAATGGCTGCTTGATGACCCTAAATTCAAGGACTGGAAATCAAACCCTGGGGGAATTCTATGGTGCTCTGGAATACGTATGTAGCTGAACCTTGTGATCAGTATCTCAGCCTGACCAGTGAAACATTCAGCTGGTGCTGGAAAAACCATTCTTGCGTGGGTCTCAATCCTGCTGATTGATTTCTGCTGATCCAAGAAATCTTAGCTCTCTTGTAGTGGACTATCTGACTGCCCAGTCAAAGAACATGGACCTTGGAGTGGCATGCATATATTTCAACCACAAGGAGACTGAGATACAAACCCTAGACAATCTGCTTGCAGGACTCTGGAGACAGCTTATCTGGAAAAAACCTCTTGGTTCTGCTCTTGAGCTATATGAGCATCACATTGAGAAGAAGACAAGGCCATCACATGAAGACATCTGGAAACTTTTGCCCTCTACACTCATCAGGTTCAAAGAGGTTTACATCATCCTTGATGGGGTGGATGAAGATCCAGAGGAGCAGTGGGGCGGCTAGCCAAAGTCTTGACCAATCTGGGAGTTGTCAACCTGTTGGTATGTCAAGACCCCATATTGCTCCAAGCAAATGTTTTGAATCCCATGACTCTTGAGATAAGGGCAAATGATAGAGACATTCTATCATATGTAGACACACAGGTACAGGAGTCTGAGCGCATATCCAAGCTCATTGGACAAGCCAGAGTTGCACAGAGAAATTTCCTCAAAAATCTGCAATAGTGTAGAGGGCATGTAAGTGTAAGGTTTTATTGCAA